TGACTTTAGTAACAATGAGGAGAGGCTCAGAACAAATTTGGATCTCCTCTTAGAAGTAAGAGATGAAACCTCACTCAGGACTGCTGCATACCATCAAAGAATTTCTCGTCACTACAATCGAAGGGAGATACCTCGACCTATCTTTATTGGGGACTTAGTTCCGCAGAGCATTGAAGCCACTGGAAAAGGCTCTCAGCGTAACAAGCTCTCCCCCTCTGGGAGGGACCTTATTTAGTGGCAGCGATGATCAAGCCTGAAACCTTCAAACTGAAGGATGCTAGTGGAAAAATGCTCCTCTGATTCCGTGATTCGAGAAATACACAATATATATTTTATCTCAATCACAAGACGATCAATCCCAGGGGGATTTGATTCGACCTCTTACATACAGGTTAAAATCATCAAGCAAATACTTTGATTAAGAACCTCGAATAGGTCAGGATATCAAAGGATGATATCTCTCGTATTTCTTTAAGTCAAAATAGGTCACCAAAATATTTCTCATTGAAATAAAATTGAGTCAATTTCATATGCATGTGAAAAAAAGATATATCATTGAACATCGAGTACATCATATGAAAGCGTCAACATCAAAGCACATATAATCACTAGAAAGAAAACAAAGTGGTATAAAACAACATCAAAGCCATCCTATAGGATCTCAATATCATCCTCATCCTCGTCAAGAAAAAAAAAGCCTTTTGCAACTCACTATCTAATTATTCACCACCAGAGTCTAAAGAAGGATCACCAGAAGCCTGGCTAGGAGTCAACCCCTCGATCTTCGCTCCAGTCTTACGTTACACTGTACACATGCCCTTCATAGAAACTTTGATGAAGTCATCCTCCATACACTCTACTTCTAAATCCTTCACCTCCACGTCATAAATATGATTGCGAGTTTCCTGAACTTGATCTTCAACAATTATCTTGAAGGTAAAAGATTTTTTGAATTCTTCTATGACTGCAGACAACAACTGCTAGGCTTCCTTCTCTAACAACATACTATAGAGTCTCTTATTCTCAATTTCAAAAATTTGCTGATCTCTCATATATTGGTTGATCGTCGCCTGTGCATCCACTAACTCTATATGTAGACAATCCATCTATTCATTCTGCAAGGAGGTTGAAGTTATCTTGTTTGCTAGCTCTGCTCTACACTATGCTAGCTGCTCCTCCACCGCCTTCATCTCCTTGACTTTGCTATTGTGTATCTTCTTGTATTCTCCCTGAAGGTATTTGAGCTTTACAAATTCATTGTTCCAGTAGTTCAAGGTCTTGGTCATCTCATGTTTGATATTTGTTTGCTTATCCAACTGAAGCAACAAAAATATAATTGTGTAAGAGATATATCTTTTGAAACAAATACAATAACAGAGAAGAAAAGGTGAACTCACCAACTCCTCTGCCAGTCAATGGCCAATGCATTGATGATTCAAAACATCTTCTGGAATATATAACTTGGATGGAGAGATATGAGGACCTTTGCTAGCAACTGCCAAAATTTCCTCCACCTTCTTCTTTTTTGATGCCTGCAAATCTCCCTCACTTTCTGGTCATTTAGAATGAATTTTTGAAGGTTGGGGAATTGCCTCTGGAGCTTTCACAGACTTCTTTAGCATTTGGGCATGTGATCTTCCTGCTTGAATATATAATCCTATCTTGAACCAGTATTCTTCATCTATATATCTACTAAAATAATGCACCTCATATTGTAGGGCGTCAATATCGAGAAGCTTGAGTATCTTCAATAAATTTTCTACTCCAATATGAAGGGAATGTGTAACTTCAAATTTTCTCATTTTTCTTGAAGATTATAATCATTTTGCACATAAAAGAAGTCGCTAATCCAACCTTTTGATGAAACTCGAGTACGAATATCCAACCACTTGGATCTGAAAGAGATACGACTTTGCGTATCATTTATAAGATGCCCCATTCGAGAAAGACATTCCAAAGATAACACCACTCCATGATCTCTGAATAGTACGACCAATCACATTATGATTGACATGTCCTTGTAAGAATGTTGAGATAAACTCACTCCACAGATCGTTAGAATATCAATCAATTCAGGAGACGGTGGAAACCGTAACCCCACTCGCAAACTGAATTCATACATCATCACATATCCTGAGGGAGGATAATGGGTACGATCAGATCTTGTTGGCACCTTCATCACCATATTATTAGGAAAATGAAATTTTTTCCTAAACGAGTTGAAAGAATCGTCAGTGATGGTGGAGATAACATCATCAGTCTTCGACGCCTTATGAGTCTTTTTTAAACCTTCAGATCAGGCAACAGGGCGATCTTTATTGGTGGGGGGATTTCTTGTGGACGTTTGATCACCCATTTCAACTCCTGTACTAAAGAGGAGAGCTAAATTTGAGTAGGCAAAGTCACCTACGAAAGATAGCGGAAAGCTTCTAGAGCAAGAAGAAAAACAGGGAAGAAAGAAAGAAAAATGAGAAGAAATTCTAACTTCTGTACAAGAGGGGGGCTGAGTCAAGTAGGAAAAGTCACATATTGAAAAATAACGGAAAGCCTCAACTGTGAGAAAGCTAGAAGGAGAAGAGGGGAAGGTGCAAGTTTCCCCTGGCCCTTAGGTGGTTATTTATAGTATTTTTGAGGGAAGAAAAGAAGTTTTCGAATTTTTCTGGAATTTTCCAAATTTTTCTAAAA